TGTCATTATTGTGGACAGGCTCCAAGGTGTTTCAAGTGTTTATCAAGTTTTACATAGGTATTTAAATCCAGTGTCATGTGAACAAAAAGTGTCCAAGACATTTCACTGGTAAGTTCCAAGAGTAGACCTCAAACTGGCTCCAATAACGGTGCATTGAGTGAATAAATGCGAAAGAGTACCATCAGACTGCGAAGAGAAACGAGCTAAAGGTCTCCACACAGAGGTGACGCAGCGACAAAGTCACGTGAGAGACTTGACTTTAATGCACGGCGCTGAAGGTGTCCTTGTGGGCTACTGGACTTTAAACTAGTCGTCTTTCCAAGTATGAGCCTTTCTATCGAAATTTCCCCGCGACTATACACTTGGGGCTGGCCTCCGGTGTGCTTTATTCACCACAAGAAATTCAACATTCTCACAAATTTGTTCAAATAAACCTTGTCATAAAAGGCGTGAGGTTACCTTCGAGGCGAATGCGCCTATAACTTCTTTCTTTATTGCTAAGACGGGATCATCCTCCTGCTGTAGCACGGCCAGTGTCTGTGAGGCCAATTTGCCTTTGGGCTGCTTCGTGAATGGTCCCTCCTCGAGGTGCTGGCGATAGAGCGCCAATGCTATTGGATGCTGTCGCAATAAGAGGCTCAGAGCTGTCGGCTCCATGCGTGCTTCGCCCTCCTGAAGCGGCCGGAGCACCCCCAGGAGCAGGAGATCCGTGTCTCCAGACTCCACGGCGCGACCCAAAGCAAGAGAGTACTTTTTCAGCCGCATTAGCAAGGGGATCTGAGCGGAAACGCGTGGCTCAAGATCTAGCAGGTATTCCGCCAGGGCCAACTGGTTACACTGGATAGCGGTTTCGGCAACTTCAGCGAAGGAGAGTCCCCCAGCACTGCCACACCGACTGATTATTTCAGACGTTCGACGCATTACGGGATTATTAGGATCGGTAGGTTGAAACGATTGAGGAGGAAGGCATTTAACCCAATGACAGAGAATGCGAGTCATGCCTGTGGTTTTGATCTGTAGCAAATTAAAAGCAGACTGCTTATCCTCGATAGTGTGGTGTAAAAGAGTTTTCAAAGCAGTCGGATATCAAAATCAGAAGGACATATCAGCATAAGCTAAATAAAATCACATTCAACGGAGTTTTATCTAACAGAAACGGAATCATGGTAGACAAGAGCAACAACATGACGACATACTAAGGTTCTACTTTACTTTTTTATCAAAAAAACGTGTGTTGAGTTAGGCTTCTGGTATAGGGAAATCTATTATCCACACACTATTTGGATTGCATCCAGACAGTATAAAGCAAAGCAACCGAACTGGTATACTACGTCGTTGGTGTGAATGAACCGACATACATTTCTAGGCTAGCCAAATAATTTACTAAATAACAGGACAGTAATAAATTTAAAAATCACAATTATGAAAAATCGCACCTGTCTATATTCGGGGTTGTTAAGGGGCATCTTCTGATAGACGCGAACCAGCTCTACAGCAAGAGGATAATGCTTCCTCGCAAGTAGTCGATTCAGTAATGCCAAGGGACCAAGGGACTCAAACTGCTTCCAAGTGAGGGCCATCCCCACCCAGTCGACTGAAATGTTATTCAGTAAGCGCAGGGTGGTAGTTACTTGAACTGTTTTTTCAGACCTACAAAATAAAAAATGACATAGTGTACGTGAAGCATTCAACCATCGATTTCAAGAAATTAAAGAGTTTTATCAATGATGAAAAAATCCAGAAAATCACGCTTATCTACAACGGAAATCACCTACAAGTTATCTAACATCTTTGAGTCGACACCGTTCGCACAGACACCGGGAGCGGCCAACATCACAGAAAAAAATCCACGACCGAATTGTGCTGCCGCTAGGAGGGTTTTTTGGGTTTCGGTGGAGGCGAGGGCGCAGTGTCCAGCAGCGACGAGGCAGTCGGAAATGGCAGCATGCATCTTCTCGGCGGAATGAATCGATCGAAGAAAGTCGTGGGCCCGACCCGAACCCGCCTCCCACTCACGATACGCGAAGAGTAGAAGGACCGCTGGGCACGAGGCCCCAATGCGCCCAAGAGACTCCAGTTCCTGGGGCACTCGTTGGATCAGTTCATGACTGGCTGGGGTTAACACTCGAAGACCGTCTACCTACAATGAAAGGAATTCATATATTTAGGACTTGTAAATTTAGACTATTCAATCACTGTTTCAACAATTAGTAAACCGCATAAGCAGGTTTTCTGTGCATCAATGATGGCTGCATCAATTGTAGCAATTAGGATCCGCAATGTGTCAGTATTTACTTAATGAACTCGATTTAAAAACCAAACTAACTGTCAGTCTGGAGTTAAACTCCCAGTAAACTCATAATTACGTTTTAAATCTCAGTACATCAAAAGTTTACGATGGCTGCGCTAGTTCGCTGCAACCAAATCAGAAAGTGACTCGCACAACATAGTGGACTATTTATTTGGACAATCACGATTAGTTTCCGAGAATTACGAAATTACATGCAGTCTCACAAATAATAGCTATTTGATCTGATTGAGACGGAGACGGATTGATAGTGGCAGTAATCTTGAGACTAGTGGGGTCGCATTAGCAAATTGCAGCCGGCACATAATTTTGCAACAAATCCTCTTGTCAATTCTCGACAATTCGGCTACAAAATGCAAATTTTTGTGGCTACACGATTCAGATGAGAGCACATGAAGTCAAAATATTGAAGCATATAGCTGGTAATGAGAGTCACGTTTGCTAATTGGACTGGCCACGAGTTTAAATTCAAGATAAGGCTGGTGGGTCAAATTAGTTAATCTAGATATCTTTTGTACAACAACCCGCAAATCTACCAAGTCCGATTCTTATGAAAGCTATTTCGGTACCGTCTTACATTCGACTTTTGGCAATCACGATAGATCACGAGCACTAAACGTATCAGTCAGAGCGCGCTTCGATCGATATAGCTGCGGTAAGGTATAAGGAGAAATAACACCAATTGAGTGTGTTTTTCATAAACTTTTCTCGGTAAAGACAAAAACGACAGTAGGAATCTGTTTTTTGTTTTAATGTAATTTATCAAACCATTAGGTGCCCATATTGTGGTCACTAATTGACCATCACTGTGGTTTTTTGTTTCGGGGAATGAGACGTTATTTGGATCTTTAATAATAATGAATTTCATTATGTGAAGACATTGTTATTCCATATTGACAAAGACCTAACAATGACTTGATTTGAGTCCGAACGCGCTGTCAAATTAGAACATATTTAAGATCGTCACCATGCGCGAGGATATGGCACACGCCAAGTTCCAAAATCGTAACCCTGATTCCGGCATCAGATGCTTACTTATTTTTGGCCAAGTAGGCACAAAGCAACTAAGTAAAACACAATACGTCTAACCTACGCGATAGGTTTTCATGTTTACTAAGCAATTCAGCATTTGATGCCTCCGACAAAGTGAAATCACAAACGGACTGTCAGGAACTGTTTTAAGCGCCGAATTGAACAGTAAAAATGCGACAATGGCATTGCCTTATAACTTTTGCCTTATGTTTTGACCCGCAGTCATCGTCCGTAAATTAGGAGAAACGAAATCCCAACTCAAATCTTCATACACACTCTCCCTTAACCTAACCATTGCCTTATTTACTAAATGTTGCCATGTCTTGTTTGAAATACAGCACTGGATGTCAGTAAGACAGCGAAAACCAAACCAAGAATAAAGTGATTTAAAATAAGTCCATTGGTATGTGTGGGCTCAGATTCACGACTTACTTCTGCTTGGATCCGCACATAAGATGGGTAAAAGAACTCGTAAACATTTTTCTCCATATCAACGATGACGACAAAATTCTTCCATTGCAGCCCCACAGTACTATTGTCTAGCCAGACCATGTCGGAGGGGAGGGATGCAATGTTGGAGTTCTTGCCACCAAGAGCTACAACGCGTTCGGAAAAGTCCAGCTCTAACTGAACTTCCAGGTCTTTTCCCAAAGAAGTCACCCGTAGAACGCTGCTGTCCAAGTAGAAGGCCACTAAGGCTTCATTGGGAGCAATAGCCAATTTGTGAAAGGCAGAAAAGAGGTTCTGGGACGGGTAGTTTGGAAACTCGGCCTGTGCAAAGAGCAAAATGTACATCATTGACTGCACTTGAAGTCAGTATTACAGCTGTGGATACTCGGATAAAAATTAGGCAGGAAGATAAGCAAACAGGAAATAGACACGAAGTTTGGTAAGTATTTAACATAGTCGACTTCGGGCATTCATCTAGTGCAATAAATCGAAATCATGTACAAGGGCAATTCGTATTCCGTCCAGGTACTGTCGAGTTGTTCAGGAAAACGCCATTTTCTTCGATGCAACTTAAGTTTACCAAAAGGTTTGAAGACTTTTACGATCATTATGGTGAATTCATGCGTCCAAGAAATTTTTCTCGAGAATCTAACTTCAATTTGTGGTCAAATACAGCACATCTAAGGAACAAATATTTTATCTAGTAATATTTCCATTTGCAAACTACTTAATGCTTCACGCAATAATTTTTTTCTAGTCATAGATTATGTTCTTTTTATCTGGCATGTTTGATGAAGTTGGGTATTAAAACACCTTAACTTGCGCATGAATTTCAGTTCATGCTGGCGGAGTGGACAGAAATTTGGCAATAAAATGAACGTTCCAGAGATGACACACCTTCACTGCCTTTCCCACGCCCATACAATGGACCTCCTTGTCCACAGCCAGCAGTATCCAGGGTCCTTTGAAAGCGTCCAAGTTCCCCATCGTCACAGAAGAAACTACTTGCCAAACAAAGGCTCTATTCGCAAGGGGGATTTCGCACGAAATCGCCAAGATCCGTGGCCGTTCCACGCTAGTAGCCACAAGGATTTGTGAGCTTCCAGTCACAGCAGCTACTGCAGTATGCTATACCCGAAAACATCAGCTAACTTGGTACAACTTACTCCTTCAAAAGAAAAGAACTTGGCATCAATTATTTGTGTATTTTCTGCTTCTTTCCCAAAACTGAACCGACGATTAAAGACACCGCTCAAGTTAAGCATGGTCGCATAGCCCGATTTTTGGACGACAACTATTTCTTCCGACTCGGACCACGCAACAGCAACAGGAGGAGCGTCTTTCCACTGAAGGAACTTGCATTACAAGTGGGAACTTACCAAGGTCTCTGCAACCGTGTGTCCTGCTGCTGAAGTGATAATGAGGAGGGATTTTCCAGTCTGCCTAGGGCACTGAAGAAAGGCAATAAGACCACCACGACCACCAATAGCAATAAGAAAATCATTGAAGTTTATTGACTCATTCAAAGCAAGTTTGTAGAGCGTGAGCCTCCTGAAAATTAATCGTTGAGTTTATAAGAAACACAGACCTGTAGTAGTTGGCACCAAGCGCGAACCAATCGTCACTCAGATATTTCATTTATGGTGGTCAAGTATTCCGAGAAAGGGTAAAACTGTAAGTGGAACAAATGTAAGGCTGACATGCGTATAATATCCAACATATTTGACAAAAACGCAAATCATTGGCTACAAATGTAAGACATATTGGAAACTTTCAGGGACATTCAACGGTAAAACAAAATTTGGGGGATCGAAATCATGAGCACTAAAATAGCATTTGGTGTTTTAGATTTTGTTTGAGAGCTTAAAGCCCCAGCATAATATGGGTAAATAAGTATGGATTCAAGAAAGTCTTTACCGCCAGGTTACACTAGTACTTACAGTCTGACGTAAATGTTATGGTAAATAATAGAGTGAAATTGATTCAAGTGAAATTGAAATTGCGAAAATTAAGTGAAACTTCACCACTGGGGTGTTGTAGTGGGTGCGAACGGTAGTCATGAAGACACCGGTGACATTTAAGAAATCGTGATAAACGCTTGGTTCCCTGTTAGATCAAACGCTAGGTTTCAATTAGATTATTTTTTCTGAATATGTGCAACATGAACACTTTTGGTGACGACGTAATTGCGGTAGCCTGGCTACTTACAATGGCGCTCGGGCAGAAGACGAGTGCCCAAAATACATTAAAGGTACTACCCAGAAATTCTGATCCCGTAATGCCACCAACACAACATAAATCAAATCAAAACGTGAGCTAAAATATGAATCATTGTGGGAATACATTTTTTGGCAACGCACATTACATTGCGTACACATAGCTGAGTTTTGTTGGAAAATATAGGGCTGCATACCCGATGATCAAAAGCATAAACTACCTAGCCTAAATATAACCTGGAATGATATTTACGGATGTAATAATATACCAATGAGAAACAAGGATGCAATGCGCAAAATAAAGAGAAACGAAAGACCATACGATTGTCAAATTTGACACCTATACAGAAAAATTTTCTGCAAAAGTAGTCTTAAAGTGTCAGTGTAGCATTTGCGCCAACACCAATAAGGTTTAAATCGAGAAATTCATAAGGTCTAATATCAGTGCATAAGTGGATTTATAGGGTCAAACTCTACTAAATGGAGATTATTGAACCACACAAGCCCGATGACATAAAAGTGCCCACTCAGGTTAAATTGATGCATTCTAGTCAAAGGCTAAGAATAGTTCATTCTCGGTGTCTACCATTGGTCAGTCTAAACTATCATAATAATTGACGAAATTATTGTCCTTTTCATAAGTTAATCAAAATAATAAAAAAAGCCTTAGCTATCTTTGCAAATTGTCATTAAGCTTAGTGTAACATTAGCCATTTAAAAAGTAAGGTATAAATTCCTATTGTCAGTGTCTTTGCGTCAGTCGAAGAGGGCTCAAAAATATTTCCTTTACGATGCTAGCTGCGATAAAAAATATTTTGCTACTGTTTAGCTTAGATGTTTTATGAAGCTGTTTATGAAGCTGACTAACATTTATCTAGCCTAGCAAATCTGTCGGGCTTTCTCAACTTGTCGAAAAGTCTTTAAGCCCATGACGTGTTTTTAGCGTCTACTACCAAAAGTAAGAATGTTGAGAACCCCGTGAATTATGTTATAAGATATCATCCTGTATTTTTTTTGAACCACTTAGAAATATCCATGTTATTATTGACTAAAACCATTTTCATGCCAAAAATCTTTTTCTGTAATAATATGTGCGTTATTAATTTCTTGAGAAAGGTGCCTACAAACTAGACATATTAAAAAAATTACTGAACCTACTTGCCCTCTTGCTAAGTTTGACGTAAATTAAAAATAAATGGAGTGAATCTGTATAAGGGAAATATTTCCGAAAATTGGACTTATACAGGTTAGCATTTGGTGACTTCCCCAATTTATTATTGTCTTCACCTGGAGGCAGTTATAAAGGTCTTAGTCATAAAAATACGTACCAAAGAGTAATTATCCTCTTCTTTAATTAGTTTTTGGATAAAAAATTCGATGATTGTTTGAGAGAGACTGGAGTAGATAGCACCAATCCCGATAACGAAGGTATTTCTGTTTATTCTCAGGGAACCCTTGATCAGCCAGCCCTCAGAACCTGATATCTATTTCCATTGCAATAAGCCGTGTTACACATCACCTAACAGTTGAAAGTACGCAAATCGGCGTCTTAGTAAAAGGCATGGAAACTATACAGCGGTGTGATAAAAACTTTATCTGGAAAAATTTCCCGATAAAATCACCGTCTTAGGTTATTGTGGGCTACGAAAATAATAAACTCTGTATGAATTGTAAAGCAGCATAGTCGCAGAACGTTGTGCCACTCCATTCACAACCCCTGTACCTTTGCATCCGCCCCTTCACCTATTATTTATTTGCTTATCTACTCTCAAATTAAGGTGCCTAGCATGCAAATTCGCATAAACTAGTGAACTAAACACGATTCAGTGAGTTCGGTTTTTTGTGCATGCACAAAGAACCCAGGATCTTCTGTTCTAGCGGCGACTGTGTTGATTTAAAAGCAACCAGTATAGGAACTAGGCTAATTCGCTTGCGGCGTTAAGCACCCTGAAGCAGGTTTCAAACACTTCGAGTAACCTGAAAATAATATTCACTAGTGTTTCAGGTTGATTTTTGGCATTTGCGAGAAACCGCCAGAAGATAGATAATCTCGTGCCAAATAAGGCATTCCACGCATTATCAATTGAGGCATGATATAATGCGTTTTCCCCTACTAACATGAGAATTATCACAGTGAAAATAACGGGAGAAGATACGACCCTCACAACTAGCACCTAAGAGTAAAAAAGTCAGCAGATAAGAGATTTTATTTCACCTGATCTCTGAACATTTTTACTAAATTGGAATTGTTTAAAACGTAAACGTCATACTGCTCAGTAATAATGGCATGTTATCAAAAGGTCGCTTTGAGGGGCTGTTCGTTGTCGTGATCACAACCAAGAAGCGAGAAACGCTTCAACGACACAACAACCTCGACGCCGGGTGTGTGAGGAAAGAGGTCGACACAACTAGCAAGTGTTGGCAAAAAAGGTGCCCCAGCATACTTTTTGGAAGGAGGACGGGCGAGGCTACAGAAAAACAAATGCAACGGGAGGTCGATCGTCAGCTTTAATACAAAAAAACAAAACAAATAGCAAAAATAATATCAATTAGTGATAGTTCACAAAGATATGGGGTGCTTGTAGGGTAAAGTGAAAAGGGTACACATACCAACCAACCCCACTGCGCCGTTTTAAGATTAGCTCTTCCATTTCATCGTAATATTTCAAGGAAACAAGCGCGGACCACCTATCCCAACTTTATTCCAATAACAATAGATGCAAGAGCACATACGAATTTTATTGCATAACAATATGTCAAAATCAATAGCCTAGCAGATGTTGAAAGGGGACAAATAAAGGTGACCATCAAGTGGCATAAAAGAGGCTCACCGAACGACTCGCCGTGCTTGGTATATTACAAAATTCATAGCAGGAGTATTAGTAAAAAATATTCAAGCAATTGGCTTCAGCTGACAGCGTTACACATGAATGGTAGCAAAAATCGCTTTTTGGTAACCCGAGAAAACCAGACAAATCAGGAAGCCAGGTTATTAGATATCATATACAATGGTATGCATGCCCACACACACCGGCGTGCGTGCTAATAACGACGCCTCTCTCTAAATCTGAATGTCCAGTTGTAGTGCTTGAGAAGAATTACAAGTCGGGGGATTAAGCATGAATCGATCAGAAAACAAAATGTGAACTCAGGGAGTTTCGACAGAAATAAGTTGGAAAGAACGAGAGAAACTGAAAGGGCCAATATTTGAGGAATCATCGGGTAAACGAAACCAAAAAGGGGTCTTGAGAATATCGTGGCAAAGACTACGGCAATAAAAGAAGTCATGATTAAATTGAAATTAACAAATACAATTAATGACAACGCTTTACATCTAGCGCAATGACAGCAAGAAAAGTGGAGGATCGGGAGTCAGAATATACAAAAATAGAAGCAATTCATTGGATGGACCCCAAAGTCGACCACAACACTATACACCACAGCTTTTTGTAGAAGCCCTGACCAAAATCAGCCCTGAAATACGCATTATTCAAATATTGGTAAGAGGTAACATTTGAACTGGTGTGTCTATGAAACTCACATTCAGCACGACTAAACAGTCGTTGGAAGACCCAGAAACCAAAACGCCCATAATCTGTTCCAGAGTAAATACACAGGAAACTGTCGATAAATTTAAACTTCTTTTCGGCTAAACGAAAACGTGGAAGTGTAGAAAACAGCTAATAAAACAGATATAAAGAATACCAATGTTGTTAGATGATTGACTTTTTAAAAAAAGACATTTACGATTCAAGAATGTAGCTCATTTGTGGAGTGTTAGGGGGAAAAATAGGATACAGAATTTCTTTATTGCTTTGAGAGCATCAAACTCAGAGAGTATTGGATCTACGCGACTAAGGAAACTTTTGAAGAGCTGAAATGATTTGGTGGCTGTTTCACAAGACAAATGATGCACTCATTAGAAGTAGGGAATAGCCTCAAACTACCAAGCCAATGACGCCTTGAATTCGCGATGACAGTCTGAGGAAGGAAAGAAGAACAACTGCTGGAAACGACTACTTCTACGACAAAAGCAAGTTCGTGGAATCAGGCTAATAACTTGGCAACAAATGCGAAATAACTCACGCTTCGAAGTTGGATACGACCCTTGCCAAATCACAAGCAATGAAAATCAGATGCTTAATTTGCTCACAACGACGAATAGACTCAATAACCCCGAGATCTAAAAAAAACAGACCGAAGTCACATTATTCCATCTCGCATAACCGAGTAGTGATGGTCAGGTGGTTGCTATTTGAGAGGATGAAAAGGCAATAACAGGGATTAGTCAATATTGGTGATATAACATGCAATAACAAAAATAAACCGACTACAGTTCCTGGGTTGAATAGGCATACCTGATTATTAGAGCCCGTAATAACAACGACAAAAACTGAACAACTAAATTCAAATCAATTTTATACAAGCAAACAAGACACGAAAAAACAACAGCCAATGGCACTAGGAATGGAGTGCTCAACATGCAACACGTAACGGGAATCTTGAGGGATCACAACAGACTAGACGAACACATAGTTGGCAGCATCGCGGTTTGATAAGCAGCCCAAAGATATGCACAGAGAAAACAGATGACTCACGGACACCAGCACGTGGAGGATCCAAAACAGCGACTATTTCTTTGTCCATAGGAAGTTGTTGCATTAGATCTTTGAGAACAACTTCAGCCTTACCGGCATAAAATTGTGCGTTTGTAATGCCTGCAAAACGAAAGCAGTTCAGGGTTTGTGGAGTGTTTGCCACCAACATTTGTAAATTATCAGGGGTTTCTGTCTCTTCACAGTCAGCAAACCGAATTTTAAAACGAAATTCCTGAATGACTACTTTAACGCCCAACAGTTTTTTTTCGAAAAAGAGTACGGATTAAGATAGTCACGCGTGTTCACCGTGGTGCTGGAACAAAGGAACTGGGAATAAGAAACACAATCGTTGACATCCAAGCATGACTGGCACCTGCACATTGTGCTGCTAAAATTAGTCTTTCATTATAGCTTGAGCATATTGTCTTAAGCGTGTCTGTATTCCAGAAGTATTAGGTGCCTTGATCAGAAAAAGCACGTCGAAGATTTGACCCTATGTTTAATTAATCTCACGACGACATTTTCGTATTGGGAAGCTCAACCCGCTGCAATAGTGCGACACTCCGAAATCAGTAAAATCGAACGGCACCTAGTCTAGTTTGAAATCGGTGTGTAGAATTTAGCCCAAACTGTGGGTCCGCGGTGATGATAACCCATGAGAGCAAACATGGCATGAGGTAACCAGTACACTGAGACTGCAGAAAAGTGAACGACGACGCAAGTTTTAATGAAGACAACCAATGACACTAAAGTTACACAACGCCGTGGGCCAGATACTTCAAGTTTAAGATTTATGTGAATAAGGAACCCACCGTTTTTCTCCGCATTTATTTTGGCGCTCTCAACAGCCGATGGAAGTAGCTCGATTCCGATGACCTGGTCGAAGCACTGCAAATACAATAAATTAGTGATCAATGGAAGCAAGACCACATGGTTTGCACAAACCAACTACCAACAGATCAACTTTTTTGGCCTAAAGAGGATAGGTTAGTGGATAAGAGTGATCTTAAAAATGACGTAGCCTCAACATAAAATGCACATACACAACCCTAAGCCAGTATTCTTAGGGGATGAAAATTTCCCGACACATGACTATGAACTCAATTAGTTTCTTCTGTAATAATCGTATCCGAAATCAAATCCACTTTTGCACCAGCAATAAGAAATCGGAAAGTGACACGACGGATTATTGGTAAATTAATGTCGCATTGTTGGACCACATGGGAGCAGTGGCACGAGCGTGCAACCAACCGCCCTGACCACCGCTGCCTATAACGCACCAATGAGCAACTCAGCCTGATAGCAGGGCCTTAATTCCACCAATGTTCGAATCTTGATAAATAGCTCATGGGGTGAAAAGCGCGCCTTTACTTCCTTTCATTTGATTTGCCAGTGCACAATTCAAATAATATGGAGGAATACTCACATCCGCTAAACACAAACCAATTGTGCCGGTACCGCAGCAAATATCGATCAGGAGGGTTTCGCGACTGGAATTTCCTTCAGCCAAGATTGATTTGCAACGTTGCTTCACCTCCTCATAGAGTTTCTCCGTGGCTAGGGTATTTACTGAAAACAAAAAACTGTCAAATGTTTCTGCCTTTATCAACTATTTACGAAACACACTTGCAGCTAAGCCACAGACTCCGATAAGGCCGCGATTCTGGCGGCTTTAACTGGTTGTATATAACAGAATTTCTTACAGTTTATAGTTATTTGGTTACTTCGAGTGAAATCATGATGAGGCCAACTCCCGGTGAATAAAGTTTGAAAGCTCGTGGCCAATTTGCACCACGACGAGAAAGTTAAAACCGAGAGATGAGCAATTATCGTGGGACGAGTTCGCCTGCAGGCGTTTTAGTTAGAGCAGAGCTGCTAATACGTTGACTTTTCTATTAGGGCAGCGCATATATGATAATAACACCACCGAAGTCCTCCAGCTAGATCGCAGATGACCAGCTATTAGACGGTGGAATGTGTTTCATAGCATGATGGTGAGCCGTAGAAACATGGTTGAACCAGGCGAACACGTTGGGGTGACTGGTTTAACTAGGCCCAGGTGTGGGACTTGACACCAGGAATCTCGGATAGACACGTCCAGAGGTACTCAGCGAAGGATACACAGACCGCAGGTGGCGGAATTGGATATTTATTAGATGGATCGGCACAATAAAATTGCTTACAAAGTGATTAACGAACAAGTAAAAAAGGATTTTGGCGAAAATGCCATGCATGAAGAAAGCATCTTGACATCGTGTGAAAAAACGCAATTCAAAACTCAATAGAAGCCTTTTTAGAACGGCAAGTATCCTACTTTAAAAATAACGAATTAAGTTAGAGGGAAGTTGTCGAACCGATTGAATTTGGAAATCTGCCGATTTAAGCAATTTCAAGATATTTGAGGAAGGTCAGATACCGTGGATAGTCCTATTAGTAGGTACACCTGTAACCCTTTCAACTGAAGCCTACACACGGCTAATTCCCTCGGTGAAGACGCCTATACACTCCCACCCAATGACACTTCATGCTGGGTGGGTGAAATAAACGCTTTTTTTCACCCATTGGTGTTGCCTTTTCGCTTTTGTTCCTTGGTCTTGCTTCCTACGGACGGAAAACTAGAAGGCGAATTGACGGCCTCGAAATTTCACTACGCCAACCGAGTAGTGAGCACATCGGGCCGCAACTACAGATAACACTGATGAATTTAACATCAATGGAAAATGCTTTTCTGTGCTTTCATAAAAAAAACCTTCCCAGAATAAAACAGATTAAAATGTACTCGAAAGAGTACACAAAATTAAAATCGCCAAGTGGTTGTCCTTCGAGCAATTTGTCATGAGTTCAATTTCAAGGAAAGAGCCCATGCACAAGGCATGTGACTAGTTAAAACTGCTTCTAGTTAACAGCAGAACGGAATCAAACTTTAACTGCCTAAACATTGCATGATCCTTAAGTATTCAGACTGAAGACATAAGTCTTTTCTACTGCCATTAGTAAATCATCGAATAATTTACAAATGTGTGACTGTCAGTATTTCGGTTGGAGTTGGATCTGAAATGAACAGCAGATTTGGTTTCCATCAGGGACATTATAAAGCTTGAGTAAAAGGTTATATAGACCAAAACGGCAGCAGCAGAAAACAGTATTGAACAATGGCATTGATATTGCTTCTATTGCTCATAACTAAACTCACTCCCAGATGCTTCTAGTCACTAATTAAAACGTCAAAATGTAACGAAATTGGGTGAAAAGTACCTTGAAAAAATGCATCCTTTGAAATCGTGAATTGGAGGCCGCAACATAGCTCTGTAATACTCTAAAAGCAAAAAAATGATAGGAATATCGGACAACTCAGAAGTGAGTTGTAATGACAGAGATAATGCTGGTCAAACAGCTTACCCCCTTGCCGAAGACACAGCGCTCCGTGAAAGTCCCGGGAAGGCGGGAGACACTGAAGAACAGGAGGAAAACACACATTCGCGCAAATCCATACACCTTGAATATTTACTGAGTGACGTGCACCTATCAATTTATTAAATTTTAATGTGTGAGTTTTATAACAAATAACAGAATTTACTTTTAAAAACACATTATGGACTCAGTTGCTTCCTCTACATTAGAAATAACCAGGTCAAAAGAAAATTCTGACCACTTCAACGAAAGCCAAGTCACAGGTTTACTTGAGGCTTGTTTCAAATACCTTTTCATTAAATCAAATTTACGGAAATACTTACGAGTACCGCTATTATAATGTAAACCCACACACTGTCTTTTCGAAAGCATGTATAGTTCAAAAGCGAATGAGGGAAACATAGGCCATCGCTAGATAACTTAATGCGAATAAGAATTGAAGTGAGATGTCCCTTTATTGGGAAAGTGTTTTCGGTAAAAACTCGACAACTTTCTCAATCCCCACTCATCACGAGTTAATTAGCATAGTGTAGGCCTATATACGTGCAATTATAAAAAAAAAACAAAAAAATTGAACAGGGCAAATAAATGTAAATTAATATCGGGAATCGCTCCAACTTTGATTGCTTTGCTTCATTCACGCCTCTTCAATTATCATAGATTGCTCCTTTACTTTAACAAGGGCTGGCACGGGAAGCCTTTCCCAAATTTTAAAACGCAGAACAGATTGTACTTATTGCACCTACGATATCCTTAGCTACAAGTGTGCTAACTAATAATGGAGACCGGAAAAACCGTGACAGTAAGAAGGATGAATACCCCAATTACAAGGAAAGATTAGGAAACAATTACGCGGTAAGCACGGTCAAGTGCACGGAGGTTACACCGACTGATTCACCAGGCCCGCCTGACTGGAACCACTGCTTTAAGACCGACTCCAGATCTACCAAGTCCTCCTAGGAAAAAATGCCTCGGGTGCAATGAAACCCGCAATAACTGATAAGCGCCTAAACATCCTATCTTTGTAGCAAACGGAAGTAGTAACATTTTTTTGCAGACATAGGCAACCGACTACATACCGGGAAATATTTTTAAAGGATTTGATAACAAACGAAAGCACTACTTAGACGCAATTAGGAGCGTAAGTGACGATTCTGTCTTCGTTTGCTGTACTAATGTTGACACGCATTCCATAATATCAGCCACGGATATTTAAATCTTCATATGGTAAAGCATTTGCAAACTAGCTTTGACTTATAAACTATCACTTAATTTTTCACGTTAGTTCGAGTAGAAAAAAGAGCGTAGTGATTAGAATTGCAGGTTTTATCATTGTGCCTTTACAACCTGACACAGTGCAACTACTGACGGAACGAGAAAACTGGAATTCTGCTTTGATAGGATATACAGATTGAAATGGATTTACGTACCTCCGTAAGGTTACCTCGACGAATTTCAATATCTAACAGTCTATCGTTAAGCCTTGACTCCCGCACAGTGACAGCACACCAATTGCCAGATTTCGTGACCATGTCGTAAACACGAAACCGTTCCGACAAACGATTCAACACCACATGGTCAATGTCGCCGGACGCCATACGCCCTGAGTCTCTGTGATAGATCGCATCGAAGCAGTCCTGAAAGCTTCTGATGACGGAAAGAGTTGTCTCCGAAAAAAGGGGTGCCGATGAAGCATCTGCCACTATGGTTGAGCCCTGAGTGTACTTGCCCAAGCGGACGCCGATAACGGGACCTGTTCGGATGAAGAAAGAAGTTGCCGAATTTTGTTGCTACGATAGACGGTGTCACTTTTCATCGAACTGTTACTACCCTTAATATTTACAGTTTGACTATGTCCATTGATTACATTAATTTATTGACTGGTGTTTACCCGTAATAGAACACATCTACGTGCGCATAAAAGACAGCGGCCTAGGCTGTCCTAATTCTCTTCGGTAAAACTAAGCTCGGATGTTCACTAGTACATTAATTAATGTAATCTTAAACGTTTGCCAACGTGAATGGAAAATAGGGATTTAACTAGTTTATCTGAGTCGCCACAGTGTTGGGAGCTCGCCGTAAAGATGTGTCCCAGAGTGCCAACCTTTTGAATAAAAATCAACACTAATTTGCCGCAAGTCTATAAAATAGATATCGAGTCGGCGTTAGATCTATGCAGCCATGAGGTAATAGCGTTGCCCACAAAGCCACTTTTGGGATTTTGGTTTCTATCACGAAATTCGCTACTGAAATTGATAACCAGTGTAATTAAAAATGGCAGTCACAAAAACACTAATAGCTAAGGAAAAATGTTAGCCCGCGACACTTAGAATTTACTATCGATTGAAATGAGGTCGAGCAATTTAGCCTCGTCTGTATTGACTGACAACCAAATGACACAAGTTCTTTGCCGCGATACAGCCATTAATGTGTCAGATCTGGTCGTTTTTGTTAGAAGACATAGAAGTCGTGTGTGGCTTCTTGCAATTATCGCTAACCTCGACTGTTAGTGCAAGTTATGAAAGGGGGAAAGAAGGGCAAATTCAAATCGATGCGTCCGTTAAGTCGACTACCAGGATGCCTTTAGCTAGGCAAGGGACTTTGACCGATTCATGGGTAATTAGCTTTGGTTACCTAGTCACCATGAAATACAACAAGTTTAGAGGCATGAATGGCGAAGATGCGTACACAAATAGGATAAGGGTGAACCGGACGATTGTACGGGAAGAGGCCCAATGACTTAACCCCACTTTACCCTGATCTTTTCACCAGATGTGTTTGGATGGCTGGCAAAATTGGAAACTTCTTCAGCTGACGATGTGTGGGCGTGTGTAAACACTAACGCAACTTACATTTGCCATTCGCATCCTTTCCGATGGTGAACCTTGCCTTGTTGCGATAACCATTTAAAATAGGCTTAAGAGGCAAAAAAAATTAACAGATACAAAACAGCAAAATCTGGATCTGCACCACAATTCTAGGGTGATATAACCCTGCATATGAACCAAGAAGCATTAGGATCGTGAGAGAATGTATTACTTTCAGGCCCTTTTGCAGTGCGCATAAGCACAGACAACCATCAATGTTCCTTACTTCAGCATACCTTGTCTCATGTTCTACAGTGCGTTAGATTGTTTTGACATGCAAATACTCCACGGACTCAGAGTTTATTGACAACATCACACGGGGAAGACAAACTTGCTCGACATTTACCCTAGCTATTCGCATAAAACACAATGAAAATAACAAATCTCTAGTACCGACACCCTTTTGGTATCACATGTATCTACAGCCGTTGTTACAGTAACGAGAAACCTTCAATTCAGTTGTTTTGTCGAAAGGTTGCGCCAACTTCCCCCTGAAATTGATCTTAAGTCAACAACTTGCATTACTTCAAACAAGGGTGGCATAGGTAAAGGAAAGAGGTGAGAAAATCCCCGATCAGGGATTTTGATCATTTCAGCATGGATTTTCACTTCTCAGGCAGTAGACAAGCAAATAATTATATTTTCTGCGGCTCATGGCGTCAGAAGCACACTAGACTAGTAGATATAAGCTTTCTGTAAAATTGTAGATATAGGAGTCCCGCTGCAATAAGCTACTTACATTACGCATTACACCTGCATAGAAGTTCCTTCGACTTTAATTTAGAACGACTGGATTGACAAAGTGCTGCACAATCAGAACTTACCGATGGTGTAATAGGACAGCATTCACGATTCAGTTTTCGACTGTCATGTGACATGAAGCTGGTAAAAAGAAGGTTTACAAATTAATTAAAAAATATAAGGTGAAAAATAGAAATATGGAGTGACCTACCCATAGTTGAGACAAGAAGCACAGTATCTGATTTTGTTGATCTTTCCAACAGCAGTTCTAATTTGTTTCAAACATTCCAGAGCGCTACTTTGCTTCGTGTTCAACTGATCGGGGTCGTACGTCATCTGATACAGGGGTGCGACGCTGAGAATCGGGCTAACACAGAGGCGAAAGGTAGGTAATTAGCAGAAAACACGTATTCGCGTTCCGACAAAAATATTTATAAATCGTTTACAAACATGCATTCTAGATTCAACAAAGTAGTACTTTGTTAAATATCCCAAATGTGAATGGTTGAACCACACTTGGTTACAGTTACAGGACAGTGGTGGCCACTACAAAATAAACGGATGTCATGAAATGACCTACAACAGACAACTGAAGCTAAACCGAAACCCAAAATTAGACGAAAACGTGTTTGAATTGTACCGCATCTTGCTACAACGGAGACAGTAAAAATTTGCAGTTTGTGGCGACCTAAAGATTGTGAAAATAAGTTTTAACCAAGCCTGTGGCCAATAGGTTCGACCATCCAATACAGCACTTCTGAAAAAGTGGTACCTAAAAACAGCTTAAAACTGCTCTAACAGGGCCTAAAAAGTGGGGAGTTACGCTGGCAAAGTCCAAGTCCACTGCACGCTCGACAAGAGGCCGTTCATTCAAGCGAACTGGCGAAACCACAGCATAGGTCAAAACTCGCGAATAGAAAATAGGCCCTTAATAAGGTATCGATGAACCACAGGTACTTGGGCTGTCTAACGTCAGCCTCAGAAAAGTGGAAATTGTTAGCAATATGAAAGCAGCTCTCCAATTTCTAAGCTAAGCATACACCAGATTTGAATAAAATCCAAATCACGTATTGATAGCAGTCTTGCTCATCTCGATTTCACAAAACAACCCGAATCTCAAAGTAATTGAAAACGATTTCGGAATATTGAGAACACAAGTTAAAAGGACAAAACACAAAACGATTTTGAAGGTAAATGGTGATTAAATATTAAATGCTAGGTGGCCAACTTTCATAGTCAGCTAGGTTGCGAACAATCTTATATTACCCGATAAGAGACGAGTGTGTGGATATGGCAAACAACCAAATATCAGGTGCTCCGCGTAATTTATTTTCTGTGGCATTCGATTCAAATGAAAACGACAGAATGGACACAGCAATCAATGGTTTGTATTTCCCAAAAACACAATTTCTCCCTGCCAATAGTTCGTTTTTCGTGCTAAGAATTGCATTTTTGAGTACAGGTAAATACCAAAATCAAGTAATTGAATCTTCCCTTTATCCGCGAATTTTAGTCCATGCCATGCTTTTATTTTTACTTACTCGACTGCCTCAGATAAATCGTCAGTTTCTTCCTCCTCAAATCTCCGTATTTCCAAATCAGTTGGTGCACCATCAACGTCTTCTACGCTGGCTTTTGGATTGCCTTGTGCACGTCTCAACAAAAATGGATCAGCAGCAGGTTTAGTCACCTGGACGGTTGATAAGATGGATTAGAGTAGAAAATGACCCAAGACGCAGCCAAGTGCTTCTTGAATGCAAAGCCAATGTACGCCAAAACAAATGATAGAGTGAATATAGACCAAAAAACTCGTAGCTTCCAACCAGTCAAAATTTCTCACTCTGAAGCCATTCGTGGCATCACAGCATAACGCAATATGTCTGATTTGACTCGAGGCAATAGGCATTAAAAATATCTTCACAAAAATAAGACAGTCAAAAAATATCTTAAGCAAACAACAAAAGCACAGTTAGTCAAGGAACACAATAAAACATCTATAGATATTACCCTGGCCTCAAGACGTCTGCCTTTAAATACATATCCATCCAGTAGTTTAACGGCCTTATCTCGATCTTTCGCGGACCTGACAAAAAAAATGTGAAAAAAAGGAAATTTTCGAACACTAAGAAGTGAAGTCAAATAGACACATCAACACAATCGGTGGTTCTCCTAATTCAAAGTTACAACGCCTTGCTTGAGAGTAAAGCAGTGCATCGGCAAAAATTAGTCACCGGTTGACAGGAAAGAAACGATAATTGATACCAGGCGGACCAAAGTAATTGAAATTTGTAAAACGCAGAAAGATCTAGCTAGCACACAGATAAATACCACGTTTAGGGCTTTCCAAAGGTAAAAGTGGATGTCACGGTGTTTCAGACAATCTCTTAGCAAAGATGGTAACTTCTTAGGATACTTTAATGATTACTGGTCAAGCTGCCAATTAGATAGGTATAAATGTCAACGTAACCCGACATATGGAGCAAAGTGACCACCAAATAGCGTAAAACGAGATGCACAAATATAGGAAAATCTACCGGAAGGTTATAAAGAAGAGTCCCCGGCCAACTGGCTTGATCTTTGATGTCTCCAGGCCCTGAGACAGAAGAAATTTCTTCATCACCTGCAATTGAAAAAGGGAATATTTCGTTCCGAAAATAGGGACAAAATTTGAAAGACGGATGAATAGGACTAAATGGTTAAATGCGACAAATTTAAAGACACCAGTAGAAGGAGGAATTTCGGAAAAGATATTCCCAGAAAGATCGGGCGTTAGAGAACCAGCAAATAAGTTGCACACGTAGGAAAAATAAATCCTCATATACGAAACAAAAATTAAAGTAGGAATATGTGAAAAAAGCATGGTTTAAAATGACAAAGACTCGGTGAAATGCTAATCAAAGAGCAAAATAGGCGATGACAAGGATGAAGTAGTCAGCATAAATGAAACTTAGGCACTCACCTTGACGGTGACAAATTTGTTGACGTTACCAAGCTGGATTTTGAATTGTTCAAAGGACTTTTGACCGGAATTAATGTAAGCATAGACACAATTTTTTGAGGAGCAGGGAGATTGGAACATATTCTCAGTGCTGCTGGATTTTGTCTGCCAGCATGTACAATCAACCTCCATATTTTCAGCTGATGAAGCCACATTGTCTTCGCTGTGCAAAGTTACCTCATACATCTGTGCATCGTCATCAGAAATCTTCGAGAGAAACAATAGCTCGCCTCAATTTTCGGACAAAAAAATTTAAAAAAGCAAGTAAATTTAAAAAAAAACAAATGTATGTATTAAAAAAGGTCAACTTATACTGACGATAGGAAAGAGTTTTGAGGGTTTACAAAAATTGGAATCGAAACAAACATATTCTAAAGACACCAAAAGAATAGAACCCATACAAACCTAAAGATGCACAGATCGTCCTCCCTCCGTTTGTCCAGAATAAACGTCGAATAATATTTTAATCGATTAAATTAAAAAGGGTACATGAACGATTTACCAATACGGCGGGAACCTCGGTGAGATTTGCCTCACGAATGTCCATTAAAAAAACTACGAAAGAAAGTAGATTTCAATCCAACCACGACGCTAGAAAAAAAAAATAATACAGGGTTAAGACTGAGAACATTTTGTGGCACATAACAGGAAAAAAACATATATCTGGACTATTTTGGCCAAAGGACATAAATTCACATTGAGCCTCAATGAAAACGACTTTAGTTCAAAATTTACATAGATAAATAAAGCTATGATTGGATAAATAATCAGATTCTAACAATGCGCCAGAAATACTCTTCATAGCCTCATTTTACACTTGCAATGAATGGGGGAATATGAATGCGCAGACGACGAAACGATATAGTTGCGTATGCTTGCAGTAGCAAAGGAATTAAGTGTTCAGTGTATACAATTTCATGTGGCTAAAAAATTAATAGTTGTACAGTACTAAGTAAAATGACGTAAAATGAACCAACAGATGTTCGTACATGTGAAACGGCGCATAGGCGCGCAGACATATTGGACCAAGTCGGCCTTGACTATCGCGCCGATAACGGATTATTGATCCACCCACGAGCTGCCCATCACCATTGTAGGGCATATAAGCGTATCACTGGGCTAATAGGATGACACGGTTATGTAATGAGCTTTTTCCTCCCTTGATGTCAATCCGAGTGGTAACGGTGTTTTGTTTGTAATAGAGTCGTCGATCTTCCTTCCGATTTTGTTCTCGTTATGTGACACGCTGATACCTTCTTGGAGCGCTTATACGTGGGTCTCGCCCACCAGACTGTAAAAAAATGCTATTTAGTCATCCACACGTTCTTTGGGCTGGTTTCGACATCTCGTGAGCTTATCGAGAATGCTGTCGGTGTCCTCAGAGAACAGTCGAGATGACTTGTCTTGCATCTGTTCGAATGGTGTGTCCCCAGAATATCCTGACATTACCGCAAAATGCCTTACAAGTCTCTCATCACTTTACGTTATTTAGATCGAGGTTTCTCAGACCTCAAGACTTCATCCATGTTCTTAATCCGCCTCTCGATATCATCAGTGAGGCCGAATTCTTCCGGCTTAGGATGAAAACTTCTGCCTCGTTCCCGTCTACTATTGTCGAGGCAAGGATCCGTGTCCATCCACGGTTTGCATTTCTCCGGCCCATAATGAAAATAAGATTGGAAGGCAAAATGCTGTACAGGGACGCCAGCATATTGGATCATGCCAAGCTCAGCCAATCCTCGTTGTGCGTTTGAGTGTCGTGAGAGTAGGATCTGCGGCCAACCAGAGACAAGGACTGATGAGAAACAGCATATAATGAGCATCGCAGCTAGCATGGGGACCCTGATGGACGGCATCTGGAGGTGCGGTTCTGGCTAGTGAATTTTCAATAATACCTATCCGTGTGTAATGGTCTTCTTCATACTAAGTCTCGTGAATTTCATAGTTTTCCATCACATGGACTGTGAGCTGAGCTAATCTGTCATTGAACGTTTGAATTGCGTACGTTAAGGATTAGCCACCAACTGAAGACGTGGACGGGTGGAAAGCACTTAATAAAAAACAGCACAAACAACATTCTGATTTTGACCGGACGATGCACGACAGGAGGTCATGGATCGTGGTTTGTCAATGGATTCTGCTGTTGTGCGCAAGTTCTCTATAATGAGGCTTGGGTATTCTACTTTAATGAGAGGGGACATTTTTAAAAACATGGCTAAAACTCCATTTATTTTTTTCTACTATGGAAAACTGAGGTAAAGATCCCTGATTGCCGGCTGCTGCTGTTTGTGGCAGTGAATCAGCTGTTCCAAACAACTGGACGTTGCCCGCGGTTAGGACCACTGTACCTTAAGAGACACGGGCAAGTCGCTTGGGACGACATGTACGTTATAAGCCAATCGGACTGCAAGTAGAAAAAGAACCTGCAGTGGATTACATTACCTTCATGCAAGCTAACAACACCAATATTCTTCCGTCTACTGGGAGCCTGGGCGACGCTTCTACCAAGTGAGGGTTATTTGGGAATGTCGAACTGGTTATTTTACCATAGGAATCATTGAGATCGTGCATGGAATCAAGCCAGAAACGGGGGATTTTTCTCTCCCAAATAAGAGGCAGTGGAGTACCATACTAGGGCACAAACTCTGAATCATACCGGGCTCAGTCAATGAGAGACAAAAAGAGCTTAGTGGACTCTGATGGATGGTGCCTGGCCAAGGGTTCTATCTTGTGCTTAGTTAATTTTGAAATTTTACTCGACATTTCTACACTGCGGCTTGATTATCTTGCAATGTTTAATTGTCAAATACAGTAGTGACAACTCAGAGTGCAGTCACGGTGGATCAAGCCGAGCTAAGTCAATTATTCGTTTTTGTACTCTTGAATAGCCTGGAAGACAAGCGACCAACTAGAAGCAGAGGTTGACGGGGAGTGCTATGCTGAGGTCAGTGCAGTTAGTACGGTGGACTGGGCCGGACAACGACTTGTAATAGGTTATATCTCTTCTTGCTCCAGTTTTCCAAGGTAATTCAACCGGAATTGGGCAAAGGCATGTTGGAATATGCCACGAACTCAGCCTATCCTTTGTATAGGCGTGTTTTAATAGCTTACGAGGAACACAAACAGATAACCAAAGTCGTATGTGAAGAGGCTTCCACAAAAATTGAAGACAGGAGATATCGGGCGTACAGTTTGCCAAAGCATGATTGGTTTGTTGTAACCTTCGTCTTGATAATGAGGCTCTGGGAGTCTATCCAAATTATGCCAATGATACATCTAGAGTTTCGATAGCTAAAACTGATTAATGACATCATTAAGTGCAAAAGACGTGCGACAAAGTATAGGTGTCCCTATTTAGTGCCGCAATTAGACATTTTCGGCAGCTCTTTGCGGTTGCGTTTGTGTTCCAGTCTTCACAAATAGATGGCATAGTTGTTCAATAATAAAATAATTATGTTGTGGAGAGGATATAAGATTCTCTCCTGTGTATAATGCGTTTCACTACAAACTGGGATAAAAGGCCTTTTAAGCAAAAAATACGCCTTTGACTTATAGGTAACTCGTGGGTATTCAGATATGTCGATTTACTCAGATGTAACCAGCCAGACAGATCAATGCACAGATGACACAACACGCATAGGGGTCGTTGTAAATTTTTCCCCACATATTCTCCTTCAAATTCTCCAGCACGATGAGCAAAACTCGGTCCATGGGAGGAAAGTGCAGCATAATCGACACACAAATTCACGAGAGGAATTGTTAGTGTATGTCTTACGCACGTGTTGCACAGAAGACGGATGCAGCCTGGAGCCCAAAATTGTGAACACAAATGAACATCATCCATTACAGTTCACGAAGCAGCCTCAGCATTCTCAAAGTGGCCAGTGTAGTGAAACGCGGCAATCCAAAAAGAATGCAGAAGCGTAAATATCTCTATTAAACGTACTTTACTACCAGTTCAATGAGAAGCAAGAATAATAAGAGTAGCGGCGTAAATTTCGTTCAAAAAATGGGGGTTTGTGAATTCAAATCAACCCCACGCCGAGGAGGAACTCCCAATAGCTCCTACAGTATTGGCGGCGCCTCCATTTACACGAACTCGGGAGATAGTCACATTGATGCCGAGGCTGCCATTGTCAGCGAAGAGTTGAGCCGTATTTGAATCAAAGACCAGGCAATCAGATTCGGTAATCGCGGCCTGCACCCCATCATGTATACTGTGCGGCGTAGCTTCCCACGTCAGCCGCCGTGTAGAAGCTGTTAAGTCTAGTCTAAATATTCCAAAAAGATTAAAAAGTGACGTAAGGAAATGTCATTGTAGAAAAAAATAATTTGGCTGCCTTAAATCAAGTTTGACGAATTCTCTCACTCCTTTTATCGTGAAACCACGATCATGAGTACAGTCTAAGTCAATACCACGTTCAATCAACTTTCTAAAGAGTTGCTGCATGATCGACGTCCGTAGGAAGTTATGTTTTGCTATACAAAGACAACACCGAAAAATGGATGTAGTGCTTTGAAAGTGGTGGATGATTGCATTAAAAAGCTTCGAAATCAGATATAAGTTCAGGCAGTTGTTGATATACTCTTCAATGAACAGTTGACACGACGACTTAAAATCAATTAAAATTCCCTTACATTACCCGTTTTTGACCTCATTCCGAAAAATACACGTCATTCAGTTGCTTCTGTAATCCTCTCATCGGTGGAAATATCAACGTTGCGCATGCATTCGCCTTATCAACGCGAGAATAAGAGCAAGTACACATAAAATTGTGTCTTCAGCACCTCTGATCAACTGTGCCTCTTTCGATTTTCCCATGTAATAACACACCGCAATATCAATAGGAGACTACGATGAAATAGACCAGAGGTGACAAGATACTCAACACATCTAAACAGTCCGGGTTATGCTCAGTAACAACAAAGGTTAAAATATGCTTGCTGCAATATTCTAATAAATAGTTGGCGCAACTAGACCGGACAAATGTAACCTACTTGTACACGAATTGATTGGCCTGTTTCTTAGTGCCGATTAAAAGAACGAGTGCAAAGAAGAACTGAACAGATTGTTCTCGTTCCTGCTTCTCTAGAACAAGCATAAAATAATGCCCGAAACACGACTGCATCATCACCCAATCGACGGCTCCAGGGAGAGTGATGTCGGTAGCCAAGAACACGATGTCCTCGCCTGTGACAAATTCAGGAAGGTTAGACTATGGCAACTGGTCTTACCCATATTCAACAGAGTTAGCGGATCAAATAAAACACACCTTGGAGCGTGGTGATGCTCTTGTGACTTTGAAGAAGGTGAGGCATGACTTGGTCTAGTTGGCCAAGCCATTTGCAGGAGGCGCCGGGGCAAGGACAGCTGTAGGGACTAAAATCATCAGGGCAATTAACCGGCCTTCACAAGTATGCCCAAACTAAAGGGTCTTTCAGAAAGATAAGGCCGCAACAGTCTTAGAAAAGAATTAGAACGGGAAAAATTCTAAAACCCTCAGAATGGATTACAGTTAATGCGCTAAAAGAAATTATAACGTTCAGGCGCACCCGCCTTGCAAAGCAGAAGAGTTGCTCGCTGTTGAAGCAAATGGATTAGGGAACCGCATATTCCACGAATTCGTAAACAATTGACTTTGAAAACGAATTGCAGCAAAAACTAACCGGTGTTCACAAACGCTTTCATGTTCTGCCTTCGCTGAATAATGAAAGGTCTTTGTACAACCTGTCAATGCGTACTTGCAAGGAAACAGAATGCTGGCCGCCAGTTTTTCCATTGCCAGGTTTCGAATGTTTTCTATAACACAAGCGGAATGCATATTAAAGCGAAAAGAAACTTCACAAGCTTAAACACTACTGGTGCAGAGTAGTCACGGTGGGGATTGATGGTGAGTGTACGTCACTTCGTTTCGCATACACCAACCAGATTTCACAATTTCAAACGCAAATTTTCCGTGTCGAAAGTAACTTGGAGACGTGTCATTGCGATGGCGATGATTCATGAGTACAAAGCGACGTGCTATTTTGCACTTTCAATAAAAATAGCAGGGCTATCTCGGAGGTACTTAACCCAATTATCCATTTGTAATTTCAACGAGCAGGAACACAAGCGCACTGTATTTATTAGAACGATGAGGTAATAACGCAACAAGTCCTATTACGCTAGAGACCAAAATCACTAAATACAAATTTTCAAAATTAAGATACATAGAGCACAAGAAAGTGGAAACAATGCCAATGTTTATCACGGTTAGTAATACGATCGGATAACTGATTACTTTACGCATTAAACTTTCGACGACAACAGAACATAGCCGCCTAGAATGGTGGGACAGTGGTTTTAAAAAAATTCACTTACCAAATCTAATGTTTACGGAACTGCATTTAACTCTTGAACGCAATTTGGAGTTATAAAAATGTAGAACGAAATGTTCATAATTTAACTTTCAACCACAGATCCACATATGACATCGTGGGGTGCCAGTTAAAAAAACCATGATCAAAGTGCTTTAGCCAACAACCAAACCTCAATGTGATGTGAGAACTTCCACTGGATACTATACGCGGATGGTTTTAGAAGCACTGTGTAACTCCTTACCTAGATTTCCACGACAAGTGGGGCACGAAGTTAGTTTTTTACGGCAGCTGGTGCAGACAATGTGTCCACTCTGGCACTGCAGAATCGGGGGTAGCGCAAAGTCCATACAAACAGGGCACTCAAAGAGGCTGACAAGGTCCATGGAGTTACTCGATGAAGGTGGGTCATCCCCGGCGCCAGTGGGGGGCGGTCTGTCGGGAGCATTGGAAAGGGAAGCGGCGGCAGTCATGGGGGTAACAGCGACGGACGCCGGATGACTAACCCCTCCACCACCGTTCCCCTCTGTTCCAGCAGGGTCAAAATCGAATAGGGCCGCAGACGCTGCAGGGCGTTGCTGGACACAGGATGCTCCGACAAAGTGTCTTTCCGTGGAAGTAGCAGCAGACGAGGCATTTCGGTGTGGTGTAGGGCGAGCGGATGGCTCTGCCGCGACCACAGAGGTGGGGCGGTCTGATCCAGCATGAGAAAATGTCAAACTCATGGAACCTACGACGGTAAATTTTGCGAACATGAGTCTATACTGAACGACACAAATAAAAAGAACTTGATAGTTTTATAATCCTGGCGTGCAACACCACGTTGGGAGTTATGAGTGATGAAGAACAGTGATAATGCGTACCCTTGAAGGGAACACACGCAAAGGATAGGACTAATTGAACTTATTATTTGTCTGCACATGTTCAAGCCAAGTAATACGTTGTGATGAAGGAACAGGCAAATATACATGACCAAAATGTGCAGAAAAAGGCCTAATGGTGATTTACCTGTACCAGTAGATGCTTTGGCATGAATAGTCGCCAAGGATATTGGAAAAATAGAATTAGATCCACGCATCCCAACTTCTAGCACTTGAAAACTCCAATACAAAGTAGCTTTGGGTCATTCAGGGTGAAATTCTATACTTATTACCTACATCCATTCTAGCCTCCTAAATTTAAAATGATGCAACAAAGCAGTTAGAAATACCTTTAGAGAGGCCAACGAAGTGTTTAAGTGACACACAAGGAAAAGCAATTGGGGAATACGATTTTATGAACTGATGAAGAATGCTTCATTCAATCGAATCGATCACTTGTAAGTGGGTCTAAGTATAACATGCCCCGATTGTAAATATGAACCAAGAAAGCCATTTTGAGCTTAAAAGGAGTACATTATGGCGAACGTGAAAGCCCACCCTGCCTTCCACATACCTCAAATTTGTAGCAAACGTTAACAAGTCCGATATCGCAGGTGTCAGTTAGGACAAAATTCGCAAACATTTTAATCATGAATACATTTAAGCTAAAAAAATTCTCACTCTAATGAGTTACTTTGCAATTGTTTGTCATAGCGCTGTCCAATTAATGCGAAACTCGATTTAGAAACTAGACTAGCATTTATTGTATAGAATCGGATAAAAGAATATTTAATGGACTGATAAAATGCTTGCAGCAAGGATGCACAAACGAATTTTTAATAGCAACAGTGCACAAGGTTCTCACAAAGATATGTAAGATGAGAATGAGCCAACCAAAGCGGCGTTCTTCCTTTGAAGATCAAGATTTCTTGGAAAGCTTACCAAGGTAGGGTGAGACACCGTAACAGAAAGATTGATTCTAATTAAGGTGGACAAATAAGATTGATCAAGTATTGGGTATTGAACAAAACTATCTTTCGTCCAAATATTTGTTGATGACCCTGTTTTAGTAAAAAACTTTTTACGTGAATGACAAGGTTAGACTAGAACACTTAAACTGACTACTCAAAAAGATTACTTTGAATAGAGTTACTCCAAAGGGTGAAGTAGGTAAATTCGACTGCTTCAAGAGTCTACAGGTTTGGATGGACAGTAAGTTCGGATTAAAGCAGTTTTACACTCACGTGATAAAGAAAATGCCTTAACAGACCTTTTGACAATTCTAAATGCATGCCGAAAGTTTGGCATCAGGAAAAATTGCACATTATACAAGCGTAGTATAGTGTTATACACTTACTGTGTGCAAGTGATCTTAGATTCCTGAAATTTTTCGAAAAATTAACACCGGATCCACCAGAAGAAACCCCATTTCCTGTAAGGAAAACGAAATAAAGTGCTGCATGCACAATACAATGCCTTGTGAACTAAGACGTGCCGTGAGTCATTACCATGCAAATTAAACTCCCACATTCCCCATTATCGATAAAGGTTTTACGCCAGGCCATAAAAGAGGCAAAGCAAAATGAAAGAAATACGAAATAGGAAAGTTTAATGCTAAAAACATTTTAGGGCAAAACAATAATACGGAATACGAAAAACAAATAAGCCTTTCTAATTTAAAGTGATGAAGGATATTTTAAACGATTTCAGGAGGACAATCACCAGGAAATTTCGACTAATTTAAAATCCAGTAGCCCACAAGGACACCTACAGCGCTGTACATTAAAGTCAAGTCTATCATGTGACTTTGTCGCCGCGTCACTTCTGTGTGGAGACCTTTAACGCTTTTCTCTTCGCAGCCCGATGGTACCCTTTTGCATTTGTTCGCTCAATGCACCATTACTGGAGCCGGTTTGAGGTCTACTCTTGGAACTCACCAGTGAAACGTCTCGGACACTTTTTGTTCACGTGACACTGGATTTAAATACCAATTTAAAACTTGACAAGCACTTGAAACAATTTGGAGCCCGTCCACAATAATGACAACAAAAGAAAGGCGGACTGGCAAACGGTGGGCATCACACCGGCAGGATGCGAGGCACGAATAAAAGGGAGACGTGAAAAGGCCGCAGGTGTCTTTCGAGTAAATTTTTTTATGAGGAAATAAAATAATGACAGCGAAACCATGAATATGTTGAATGGCAATTGAAGCGATGGCTTTTAATGAAACGCCGACCCTCTATGGAATGGCCGACTGCTCAAATGGTGGGTTCATTAAGACAGACCTATTTTCCAAAGTGAGGTGCTGCAAAGCAAACATTGATTCGCGTGTTCTGGGCTGTTTAGGACCAAATAAGCCATGCGAATCCAGCTTCATGATTGAAGGTGGTTTCGTATGCTAAAGACACTAAAGATTGGTGACTTAAATGACTTTGGAACCCCAACTTGAGTAGGTCCTTCGCTGACACCAGGAAGGAGAACTCTTGAGTTTGAGAAACGTTGCAGAATGAGTTGGCCGTTGAACCACCAGATCCTTTTTTTGTGCAACGTTACTGGGCCAAACCCTACCATTACTCAACCAGAGGGACACTGATATTGTAGGTAGAATTCTTTTGAGTGAAAAGAAAGTGCACAACCTTGTGGCTCCC